ACACCACATTATTGTGAGGACAAAGCCATGTGTTTGTGTCCAAGTAAGCAGAGTTCATTTACCTTCCCTTGTACTCTACAGCATCACGGGGGCTTGTGCAGATTTTATTTTCTGTAGGTGTTTGAAATAATTTCTCTGAGGAAAAAAAACCAGCTGAATTACCTGAGCCTTCATTGCTCTTTTGGCAGATTTAGGATGTATTCTGTACCGCACCACTGTGACACACACACATATAAGATGTTAATATCCCACCGAAATTATCATTCTAGTGCTACAGGAAACCTTCCATTGCAATCGAGTTGATAATTTTCCAGAAAGAGCAGAATCTCCTTTCAGTTTGCCAGGCCCTGATAGACTGGCTGACCTGTACCACTGAAGTCTGTCCCAAGCTTTTGGTCCGCTCTGCATGGCAACTTTGTGACTTGTGCTTAGCATAATGCCTCCCATCTAAACAAAGGCAGCCCCACGTCTTCTCAGGTGACCTCCAACACCAGGAACAAAGTATCTACTACATAGATATGCTAGACTCAGTGTGAGTTATCTCAGCTCTAACCTTTTATAAAATCACAAACTATTTTTTTTCCAATTTTGAGCATTTTTAAACAGATCTGCTTTTTGACCACTTTTTATACCCACTTTATGCCCCTGACACTTGCATGTGCTGTGCAGTTTTTTCCAGTAAGCACTAGTCAGAACTCTCTGGCTGTATGAGTGATACTTGAAGATCACAGCTGAAAGCAGAATTTGTCTAGGAGGACATAGGTGGAACAGAAGGGCAAAAGAACCCTTTGTTCTGAATGTAACAATTGAGATTTAGGGGAGACTGTGACTCCAAGTGTGAACTCTTCCACGCTCCTCTTCTAGGCTGACTTTGCTATGTGAGATTGCATCAAGAGGGTGCGGAAGTCCCTGCATTCCCTAAAAATAAGCAAGGGTATAGCTCGGTCCAAATACCTTTAATTACTGCAAAATTTCTATCTTCTATTAGTTGATGGTGATGTTGCAATACTGTAGGAACAGATATACTGGTAAAATGTGTTTTGCCTAAATCTTCTGAACTGTTTTAAACAAAAACAAACAAAAAAATCCCTCAGCTTCCATTTTGTGCTGAAGTGGACTGCAAAACAGCTTGAGTACTTGTTGATGCTTGTTAAAAGCATCCTCTTGAAGAAGGACTGTTGTGGGTATTTATCTATTCAACAACTCATTTAAATCACAAGTACAATCTTTTTTATAGGGCTACATGTAAGATGCTAGAATGTGAGCATCATTTTAATCTATAAGATCGTATTTTACCTGCATATCAGTTTAAAATACAATAATTAAAAGTCACGTATGTGCATACTCAACAAGCGCATTATGAGGTGGCAATTCAGTTCATGTAACTCAGATGGTTAATCTCCTATTGCACACCCCAGAATGGTAATTTGTGCACCATTTTCAAACTAAAAAAAAACGCCCAAATACTAAAACCACGAAAGAAAACCCCCCACAAAACCCCCTCCAAAACCCCAATAAAAAAGAAACCCAAGAAGTATTTTTGAAAATTAAAATAAGCAAATAGAACCAGGGGGATAGAGTGTGAATGCAATTAAAATATTTTGGTAAATACATGACATTATCTAAAGGGTGGCTTTACTGTGGTTTCATGTGTGATAGCTTTGGGTTTCAGGCTAGAAGAGCGCTTAGAGTTTAATTGGTAGCGTCAATAGTTCATTCTGTTTTTCCAAATGAATGTCCACCCTTCATCATGATGTAGTTACTCTTGTGCTGTCTCAGTGCACGGTCTGTTTTCATCTTTGGTTGAGGGAAAGGAGCCAGGGACTGTCCGTGGGTTTTAAGAAAATTTCTCTGGCCAAGTGCAACACAAACCAGTACCTCGCTGTTGGCTAGCACGCTACTCAAGTAGTGTATGTAGAGGGTGGGTGCTTTTGATGTGATCCTTCCATTAGAAGAAACATAGTAGTCAAATTACCTGTTTGTATAATATTTTCAATTCTAAAATAAGAGAAGGTTTATTGGATAAGATACTAATGTATTTGTAGTAATTAAGATGTGGAATAATTAAATAATATCCATGTTACTGGACAAGTAAAGCAACATCCTGAAAGAGCCTAGTTGGAAGGACAACTGCCACTGTACCACAGTCTGCTTCAGTTTGAACTTATTTTCACTTGCCACTTCAGAGCTGAAAGGTGCCTTTGCCAATACTAGGTAAGAATACAAGATTTCACACCTCTTTTTTCTACATTGGCCTACAATGAAAAATGAAGTCATCTTAGCAGATAGGGCAAGTTCTCCCAAGATAAACAACTAAAAACGAAGATTAGGCCTGCTAATTATCTGTGTTAGGCATAATTGCATTTTATTTTTTTCTATTTCTGTAGAGTTTTGCCAACAAACAGAACTGGGTCATTCCCCCAGCCAGAACCATCATTCTGCTTCTGCCCAGAAAGATGCTCAGACAAGCAAATTTTTGCTGATTTGATATCAAAAAAGCTGGTGGGGTTGCACTACGAATTAGGCTTGCTTTATCCAGGAAGATGAAATGGTTTCCTTCTGGCCATTCTGTGAAAGGCTGAGGAGACTGAGCTAATTAAAACAGATCAACCCTGAGGGTTTGCAGGTACATCAACTTTTTTTTTTGCACAGCAAACCTGAGCTAAAGTGGGGACTTCTCAGTTACAGCCAAGCCTGCTCATTTGTTTTTAGTGGCTGATGTGTATCTTTAAGAAAAGGGAAAAAAAAAGCAAAAACCTTTGGTTTTCTTCCACCAAGTTTTCTGTGATGACAATGTGCTGAAAAAAAAAATTAATAATTCCTATTAGTAAAAAAATGCAAATAACTCACAATTGCCTTCTCATTTTTCTAGTAATAATTTTAGGTAAGAGACAAACGAGCTGCAACAAAATGTTCATCTGTAAAGTCAGCGTGCTGTAGTAATCCCCTTGAACAACTTTCTTGATCTTACTGCCTTGCTGTATTGCTACCTCAGTATCGCTCAAAAAAGTAGCACCTAGATAGATCTTAAACTATTTAAAATAGCTGCTGTTGTTTTTTTCTAATCACTTATTGCTTTTCTAAAGCATCATTTTTGTTTGCAGTATTGTTAACTATGGATGGAGTCTGTTGGGCTGTGGTTTTGTTAGTCCTTCCACAGTACTTAGATTTACTTCAATCATTAACAGCCAACCATTTTGGAAATGTGCACTGCTAGGCCCTTTCATTTCCCCTTCTCCAGTAAGGCATGCCTAAACTATTTGACTTTTCTGTATTCTGACTCTTAAAACCTAGACTCACCTCAGTTCAGCCAGCTCAGATTTCTGTTATCATTTCTGTCAGATGAAAAGATTGAAACTTGATGAAGGGGGTCAACCTTTGAGCAGTGTATAGCATTAACGGCAACTTCAGTGACTTTTACGCAAGTGTGTCAGTTTACATTTGCTGTGGCTCTGCCCTGGAAGTGTTCCAGGAGTGTCAACAAGAGACATCATCTTGCACAGAAACACCACCCTTTCTTTTGACCTGTATTTAATTCATGCGTTGACTGATTACAGCATTCATTTTCAGCTCCCAAATCACTCCTCAGTCTTGTTTTGTTCAATTTCTATCAATACTCTACTATTTGCCATTAATATTTTATCAGCATTTCCATGAATAAGAACACACGTATAAAACAAGCTACAACATCAACAAAAAACAGATACCAGGGGATAGTACCATCAACCTCTGGGAACAGAAAAGATTCCCAAATACACCCTGCGTGACTTCCAGCTCCCCTTTTGTTACAGACACATAGAATGGGTACAGTAAAATGACAGGGATATTAATTTCGAGCTTCTGTCCAGGTCTGGTCTGTTGTGACTCTGATACCACTAGAACTGTCAAAGCCTTCCACCCACCCTTATCAGATAATCCTGCTAAAGCATGATGTTGCCATTTCATATTTCTCATGATCCCCTCAAGAACAAGGTCTGATTTTAGCAAAATAAATTATATTTGTGATTAGCAAACGGACATTTCTGGCATAGTCCTGTGTTACCTTTCTGGGCTTTTATGCTATCTGTCCTGTTATCTTCAGGAGGACACATAACCAACTCTGTCTGGCAAGTTCAACTTCCCTACATCCTTTTTTTTTTTCCCTAGAGAAAACCCCCATGTGTCTGTCGTCAGAGTGGAAAGAATTTGTGTAGTATTATAGTCTCATGCCTTCAGTTGTAAGTGTAATCACTGAGGCCTAGGAGAGCACTCCTTTGCTACAAATCCAGAGCAGCCAGCATCTCGTCCCTTTTCCAGTCTCTTATGTCTGTGTGTATTGACATACACAAAATAAAATGAGAATAAACAGCCTGAAAGATGACCATTCTCTTCTGTCTCCTGCCATGTATCTGTCACAAGCTGCTAATAACTTTTTATTGTGTACCAACTGCTAATAGCTTTTTATGTTGTATACTGGATTTTGGTTATCTACCTCAAATTTGGTTTTTAGCATTTGCTTGTAGAAAACCTTAATTTATCTTTTTTTTTTCCTGTAATATAAAAGACTGGGATCCTTTCTGCTGAACTCCTGTGCTGATGTTCTCTTTTCTTACCTCTCCAGTTACATATTTTCCTCAGGTGAAACAGTCTAATAAGAGTTGGTGGTAATATTCTAACTAACCACACTTCCTGCCAGATGGTGTACATCTTGCTCTTGGAAAACCCGTGGTGCACAACCAACAGAAACAAAAGTAAAAAGGCACATGATGAGACAATAATTTGCCTATTATTCCCCATTAAGTAGTTAACCAACATTTACTTGTTGGGAACGTTTAATTAACGGTTAATTTAGAACAAATTTTGAAATGTTGTGTTACCTCTTGCATGAAAAGAAATAATTTAAAAGCCACTGTGGGGTCAGCCTACTGCTATTCAGCATATTTATCATTGCCATTAGCTTTTTGATAGAAGTGCTGGTTCTGTCTAGAGGCCACAAATCTTGTTTGTGCTTCCTGTTGCAGAATGTTTATTACACAAGCAATCAGCAGCTCCACGTGGGTGTTCTGAGTCCCACTATCGACGATGACGACAACAGGTGCCTGGTGGATGTGAACAGCAGGCCCAGGCTCATTGAATGCAATTATGCCAAAGCGAAGAGAATGAAGCTTTACTGGCAGTTTACTCAGGTAATTCTTACTCAGCAGCCACTTCATAAAATTCAAAAGCTCTATTTCTTTATCCGAAGTATGAGTAATGTGTTTGCTAACAGAACAGAACCATATTTTTTCTTTCTTTCTTTGCATGGAGCCGGGAAGCTGTTTACAATTGATTCCAACGTCAGCTACCTCAGGAGGTTATAAGAACTTGCATTATATTTTCTGGGTTCACAAGAAATTATTTGTTTCTAAGGCAGAGAGACTGCTGCAGTATTATCTCCATTAAAAAAAAAAAAGTGATTTTTGGTAGAGTCAAATGCAAATTAACCTATTTAGGAACAAGAAACCAAAAGCTTTTTTGTTGTTGCTTGTTTTTTCTGGAAGTAAGAACTCAGAAAAGAGGGTAGTGGGTCACTGATGGTAACAGCCTCATCATAAGCTACTTTTGCATTTCCTTACTTAAAAAAACATGGGGAGGTGAGAAAGAGTGAGATCCAGATATTCACACTTCATAACTGATTTAGAATTACAAGGCAGAACTGTAAAGAAGCCGCAGAAGTTCTGGGGTTAGAAAACACGCTCAGTGATACAGTGCTTATGGAGATCACTCTGGTCAGATTAGCTAAGAGGAAGCAGCAAGGTGACTCCAAGCCTATCAGTGTTTCCACAAGGGGACATAGGTTATCCTGAAGACAAAACAGGTTCCAGTAGTTGGAAGCTAAGGATAGTCAAATTTTGTCTTTCAACTGAAGGTAACATTTTCCAAAGGTAAGAATTAGGACATTGGAAGTTTACTATGTCAGGTACTGACACGTTAGGTTCCTTGGGTAAAGAAAATGAGATTACAGTACTTTCCAAAACAAGTACCTGATTTAGCTTCTGTGAAAAATGTAACTGCTAATGTGAGTTTCTCTGGCCATAGTTGCTCTTCTACAGTTTTGAGGTTGCAGTCTAGTTGTGTGATGCAGCCCATGGGCTCACCATTAAGGTAATTTTATTCCTGCATTTTACTTTTTCTGTATCATCCCTGTGAGCTTGCAAATATCTTTTCTGCTAACTCATTAGGTTTTTTTTTCTTTGACTTCAGCAGCCATGATCAGTATATTTTAGGACACTGATAATAGTTTAGCACCTACTGTAGTGCAGAAAGCCTTTGGACAGTAATCAGTGAAGCATACTGTTAACATACTATTAACATAATTTGTATTCATATTTGAAAGTGATCCAGATCATAGAGTCATAGAATGTTTTAGGCTGGAAGGGACCTCTAGAGGTCATCTGGTCCAGCCTCCTTACACAAACAGGGGCATCTCTACCTAGGTCAGGTCGCCCAGGGCTCTCTCAAGCCTGACCTTGAATGACTCCATTGGGGCCTCCACTACCTCTCTGGGCAGCCCGTTCCAATGATCTTTGTCTTTCAAGGGTAGCTCCCACGCAGCAGACCTTAAATCCATAACCTGGAAAGACATCCCAGCTTTCACTTTCAGTCTCCTCAAGGGCAGAGTTTTAATTATGTCTTCTCTCAAATTGTAACAATAGTCTCAGCAGGGGGGAGGGACGGGACACTGTGGCCATCTCTGCACTTGATTTTTTGTACCATTTTTAAGAAGGTGTAATTAATATATTTATATAAATAGTATTTCAGCAACATTTTAGTACGATCCATCTATGCAGTGATTGTGCTGAATAACCTAACCTGCTCCAGAGTACCACTAATTATGTTAGAACTCATTTGATGGCAGCAAGTAAACAGCATTGATAAATTAACTTTTAAAGCTTTTAAAATGGTATTTAACTATTTCAGGTTTGTTTTCTGTCTGCATTTCCATTCCATGTCCCAAATACAATTTCCCAATGAAGGTGTAGTGCTGTTAAACTAAACTCTATGGACCTGTGTTAGATGTGAGCATATCAGAGATCTGATGATCATGGTGGCTGAACTAAAAGAAGAGGTGGAAAAACTAAGAACTGTAAGAAACCGTGACAGGGAAATTGACCATATCCATAGTCTATTCTCTACAGGATCAGAACAGGAGTTAACTCCTAGTAGAGCAGGGGGTTGGATATCCTCCCGAGAGCAAGCCCCTCAGCCTCCAGGTAGCCACCCAGATGAACAGGACCAATGGGAACAGGTCTCTCTGCGATGGAGGAAACGCAAGTGGAGCAAGCACACTACTTTTAAGAAGCACACTGCCTACAGTGCACTTGCAGAATAGGTATGAGGTTCTGCAGGAGGAACAGGTAGTCAGCAAGGACAAGAATCAAAAAGGCCAGAAGCTGCACCAAAGGCAGGCTGCCTCAGGCCAGCCATCGAAACTGACCATGAGAACAAACCACAAAGGGTCATGGTTATAGGTGACTCCCTACTGAAGGGAGCAGATGACCCAATATGCAGACCAAACTCACTTCATAGAGAGGTATGCTGCCTCCCTGGTGCCCAGGTAAGGGACATTGTAGGTAAAATTGCCAACCTTGTGGGTCCTTCAAACTACTACCCACTTCTGGTCTTTCAAGAGGGTAGTGACGACACAACGATGAGAGCCTCAGACTCAATTAAAAGAGACTTCAGGACCTTAGGGCAACTGCTGAAGGGATCAGGAGCTCAAGTTGTGTTCTCCTCTATCCCTCTAACATCAGCGTTGGACGAGGGAATATTGAGGAAGAGAGAAAGAGGTCAATTCATGGTTCCAGGG